CCTGCATATTTGTTGAGCGATTGTTTGGTTCTTGTTTTGTTTGTTCCCATAGTTTCTTGTTGGTGATTCTTTCCGGCCATCTGATCTTCAGTATAGAGCGAAGACAGCTGTTGATAGATGTCTGCAACCTGTTGGAAATATTCTTTGTAACACACTGGCCAAGTTTCTGATCCGTATAGCAAAACTGACCTGACGTTTGTATTGAAAATTCGAATTTTGTTGTTGATGCTGAGTTGAGTGACGAAGATTTCCAGATTGGTTTAAGGTTGATGAAAGTGTTTCTCGCCTTCCCGATTCTCGCTCGATTTGACATCCTCGTCCGTTCCTCCTGTAGTTGAGACAATGCTCCCCAGATAAGTGAATGAAGCAACCTCTTTCAAATTCCTCCCGTTGATGGTGACTGGCGCTGGATGTTGCTTCTGTTGTTGTTGGTTGGTTATTTTCATAACCTCCGTCTTGTCTATGTTCACCTGGAGTCCTGTCTTTCCTGCTTCTTCGACCAGTTTGTCGGTTTTCGCTGCTGCTACAAAAACTTTCCAGAATAATAGCTGAACTAAATGAATCGACCTTAAAATTCACTGTGATCTGAAGGGTCGATTCATGGGTTTCCCCTTTGTGTTTGTCGAAACTGACAGATTCCAGATATATATATATATATATATATATAGTTTGTTTTCATACTGAAGATCACAAGATTACAATAAAGGCATAATTTATACATGAAACTCTTTGTATCGCTTGTTATTAAACATAGGGAATTAAGTATGAAGGTATAAAGTTGTACCTCTTTTACATTTATCTAGACATGTGACCAAGGGCGATGTGAAAGAGATCGATCGAGTGAGGAGGAGATGAGATAGGAGCTAGGTGTACAGGACTTCAGAGAACAGGATTTAATGGGGATATGCTGTTGAAGCCCGGCGTTTTACCTGGAATGTGTTCAGATATACAGGATCATACGATTACGGTTAAGATACAATTTATAGATAGAATCCTGTGTACCACTTGTTATTAATTAGGAAGGCATAAAGTTGTCTTCTAATTATGTATATACATATAAACTAATTCTTGTTATTTCCTTCCAGCTTTTTTGATATGAATATTACATGAACTGCTTTTTCCTTAAGGTGTTCTCATTGAAATAGTTAAAGAATGAAAGGCAAACTGATGTCTCCTTTCAATATAAACCGATATATATATATAAACACTACAATGAGGTTTTTTGAAAATAATGTTTACACACTGAAGTCATGGTATCAGTCGGATATTTCAATGTTTCTTTCTATAGAAGTAAAATTGAAGGCAGTTTCCTTATTTCTTTTATTCCTTTATGTTTTCTCTCTAATAGAAACACACAGTTTCCTGTCAGTTAGCTGGTTTTTATTTATTAGGTGGATGCTTTAATTCCCGAAATTTTGACTATTTTCTTCTTTCATTCTTTTCTCTAATTCTTCCTTTTGTAGAGGTTTTTAAAACAAGAATTGAAATAAAACTGGTAGATTGATAAGTAAATCCATTTTATCTAGTTAAATTTACATCACTATTCACATACTGATAAGGTGTAATAAGCAGTTATCACAAAGGTTAGAATTCAAAGTTCATTGAATTTTGATACAAGTAGCTAAATGGTCGACGGGCTTGACTTCGTCACCTGAAGGTCCAAGATTCAATCCCTGATGCAGTCCTTGAATCTGGATATATCATCTTTTCTGGTCGTGGGTTCCCACGGCTGCAGAGTCCTAAACAAAAACAAAACTGCTGTTCAGTGCTCTCTAATTTCCAATGGTCCTTTAGATGATGTTGGTTTATGAAAATATCTGCATTGAAATGAAACCCAATCTATACGAAAACGCATAATGTAAGCTGTCACAGTGTTTACAGGTTTTCCAAATCAGTTTATTTATTAAATATGGTCAAATATTATTATCATTATTTAAGTTCATTTTTAGAACACAATGTATTGTTCATAGCTACATCAAATGTAGCCGCAAGTCTTTGAGAGTTTCTGTATTTGTTTATGTTTTTCTCATTACTATAAGTCAGGGGTAGTGGTGTAACGACAGAAGACAAGGGCCAAGCAACGGATCGTTTATTGAGGAAATCAAGAGATATTCATACATTTTTATGTACATTATTATTAGCATTATTGTTAGTAGAGAAGCAACGTCTTGTGGTTGGTTTTCTTCTCGCTGAAGGTTATTCTGTACTGCTTGTGAGAATTTCTTAGAAAGTTAAGCCGTATATCTGCGAATTGTATCCACCCACTGCCGTGATTGGTTGTTGAGTTCCTCAAGGTTAAGATTTGTTATTGTTTTCCTCTCATGATCCCGATTCGGGACGTAAGCATTGAGGTAAATTGTTGTCTACAATTCTGTCTTGCCGACAGCTCTCACCACAGTACGATTTTCTCGAAATCAAGGACTTTTCTTATATTATTTCCACTGTATCTATCCCTAGTTCATTTCTATATACAAAACTGCAGACACTAATAAGTTTTTTGCCCTAACTGGGGCGAATTTTATAACATTGAAAGAAGCAAGAATAACAAACAGAAACAAGTGGAAGATGAAGTGACTGCTCAATTTTTTGTACTTGTTCGTGGACTTGGATTAATTTCAGTACGAATTTTGACAGGTGGAAAGTGACAAGTTGATAGAAGAAGTGGCGAAAACAGAAGTGAGGGAGATACCTGACAAAAAAACAACAAGCACCAGTCACCATCCTCGGAAGAAATTTGAAGCCAATCACTCCTTTCACTTCATTATGGATAAGATTTTATTTTAATAAATCATACAGTGTTGTTGTACAGTAATATTTACTGATGAGCACTTTTCGAGCAAAATTTACTGCTGCTCTTTAGCGTATCAAGGTACTCACACAACTTTATTGCTTCATTTATATACATGAGTAAAATTGTTGAGACATTTGAATAAAATCAATATGAGATAATGTACATTCGGAAATGATATTAGTGTTATCAATCGAATACAATCAGATGGGAAATAAGATGTTTTTATAGTCAAAATAAGTAACTTGTTAGAATGTATGTGAATTGAAACAGAATTTTAAGATTATCTATTATTCTCCTGTGATTTGAATGGTGGTAATAATATCTTCCATTTTTCTGGTATTTGCGTTGAGTCAGTTATGTTGCATGTGTAGGGCGTAGACTCGATAAACCAGGATTCAGTAATCAATCTCTCTCTCTCCAGCTACCTATATTACTCTTTAGAATTTTGACTCTGTCCCATCCACCATAGTGTGTGGTTGTGTGTTAGGGCATGCAGTGCGATTGCTGAGTTCTTTTCTAAATTACTTATCTTCGTGGGATCAATCATTCTACAGTTAGCTAAATTCTTATGTTCTGGTAATCTGCCTACTCCCGATCTACTGGTGTGTTCTATGTAGTTGATTCAACTCAGTGATTGCAGGGTATTTTGTAAATTATATTATTTTGTTTAATTGGATTCCCCAGGTCCTTTAGCCTACAGAGCTTGTCTCTGAGTGAGTTCGCAGGTTTAAATGCCACTCTAATTCCTGCTTTTCCCAGAATCCTACATAGGGTATCAGATGTCCTCACATATTCTCTCTTATTTAAGTTGTCATTATTAGTTTCCTCATGTTTTTTATTTTGATCTTTTCTGATCTTCCTAATGAATTTTATAGGATAGTTATTTGACACCAGCCCCTCTTCTATCTGTTTCATTTCATTGCTTAGGTCTTTTCTTGTACTACTTAGTGCTACTGCTTGGTTTGTTAGACACTTAACTAAGCCAGCCTTTACAGACAACGGATGAAATGAATTGAAGTCTAAATATATATTGGAATGTGTTGGTTTTTTATAAACGATAGTGTTAAGTTTACCTTCTTCTATTCGTTTTATTTGACAATCTAACATAGCTAATTCTCCTTGTTCATTTTCCGATTCAAATGTGAATGTTATTCCCTTTACTAGTGAGTTTATGTGTGTGTGTGTCAAGAAGCTAGAGATATGTTCTGTTTTTAACACTGTGAGTGGAAGTGTCATCCACATATCTCCACCATATTTTTGGAGTAGGATTAAATGTATTAAGAGCAATATTTTCCCAGCTGTCCGTAAAGATATCTGCTACGATAGGGGATATTGGTGATCCCATTGCTACACCTTCTGTTTGTCTGCATATTTTGCCTTGGAATTTAAAGACAGTAGATGTGAGGCATAACTGATTTCCTAAAATAACTTTCTCAACGGGCAGCCTTGTCCTGTGATTAAGTTCGGGATCAGAAGTTAGTTCTCTTTTAACCGCTTCTAAGGCTTAGGCAGCATCGTTTCAACTAAAAGTGAGGGCACAGATTAAGATATTAAAGCCGATTAGAAGAGGAAAGCAAAGACAAACCTTTATTACCCCAAAATACGTGTGGAAATCTGCAGCACTCATCATAAGGAACAAGGTTAAGATCTTCAACACTAGTGTCCAACTAGTGTTGCTATATGATTCAGAGATTTGACACTTATGTCATCTTAAGCATTCCAAACAGGCTTCCTTCTCTTCGCTGAATACTGAAGATTAGCTGGCCGAGCAGAAAGCATAAGCAGCAAGGGATATTAGTAGCATGGCAACCAAGAATCTACTACCCAGCAAATATACAGAGAGAAGTGGAGATGGATAGCTAACACGTGCCAAGTTTTCGGTTGGAACCCTAATGAGAAACCATTAGTCGGATGTGGTTCTGTGGATGACATGGAAGATATTGTGTTTAAAGGAAATGAAAGATTATGGATAATTGTAGAGCTGGCTAAAAAGACTGCAGAGAGCAGAGAGAAATGGAGACGTGAGGCTGAAGTCCTATCGTCCGCTCAGAACCCAACGGAATAATAATAATAACAGTAGTACACTTTCTAGGCTACACTCTACATTTCATTCATAAAGAAGAATAAGAAATAGTGTGTAGTGCATTGCATTTTTGTTTAAATGCGCATAAATTTTCAATTTCAACAAGTGTTATTCAAATCCACTTACCTGGATCAATAGTTGGTGGAGGTGGAGGTGGTAACGGTTTACCAGTCTGTTTTGCAATAGTATACTCTTTAGCTGCTCTTATGGACTGTATAAATTCTTCATGTTTTTGTCGCCAGTTATGTTTACGTGCTTCAACTTGGGCTAGTTTTCTTGCCTTTTCTGCTGATTTATCGTTTATAGATGATTTCTGATTTACAATTGGTATGCCTTGTGTACGTTGTTTAGTACTATCAAATACTTTTCTCTTCTTTGTTGTGCTTTTAATACATACTGATTGATGACGATTCTATAGGGAAGGTTGAAAAAGATGATAAAAAAGAAATTCATTGAGTTTATTCAAAGTAACGAGCTTAATATGAAGTGGGAATATCCCCTGATGAAAGCAAGAATGTTTAAGAACAGCCTATAATTTTTTCCACACCTTAATATTCACTTAACTGCTTGATAATAAGAATGAGCCAGTGGACTATGATATATCGTCTGAGTAAAAGCGCGTTGTTCTACGCATACGCTTATTTGACTAATCCAAAGGGATTCGTGGGGATTACTTGGCTTATTATTACTATTATTGTTCCCTTTAGTTCCTTGGGGAACATAGAGCTTCAGCCGCACGTCTCCATTGCGTTTTCACCTGGTCCCACGTTTACCCACATGCTTTCACCTCCTCTTCACATGACCTTCTCCATGTCACCCTCGCACTGACAACCAACTCGCCGCTTCCCGTTCAGGTTCCACTCGAGCGATGGTCTGGCGAGTGATGTCGGTTGATGATTTGTTTTCTCAAATTATGGCCAATCCACCTCCATTTCTTCCTGCTAATTTGTTCCACAATCGGTCCCTGCTGGGTTGGTTCGCTCCCAGAGATCCATGTTGCTGGCCGGCCATCTGATCTTGAGTAGCATTGAGAGAAGACAGCTGTTGATGAAGGTCCGTGGTCTATTCGAAGTGGCCTTCGTGACGTGGTGCCAAGTGTCTGATCCATAAAGTTGGACTGACTTCACATTAGAATTGAAAATCCGGATCTTATTTTTCATGTTGAGTGCTGTTGACATTGCTTGGCTTAAGGGTTTTCAAATGATTTTGATGGTTTCTTAACCATTGGTCTGCGCCATTTAAACGGGTTGAACCGCTCGGTTGGGGTCATCAGAATGTTATTAGACACACTCTGTGATATAGACGGAGGCAAATTATAGTCTCACAGAAGTATAAACATTTTATCATCTTTGTGATTCTGAAAAGCACTATTCTTAACTAACCTTCCCACTGTCTCATGCATCTTCGCCGATCGTAGACCATTATGTTTCTGGTTTCTTGTTTCGAGTGTAAACTTCCGAAGTGCCATCACTTGAACTGACGTGCTACTGTATGCGGTTCTACATTGGTTTGTCATTTGATCAGTTAGTAATATTGTGTATTATGACAGGAGTAATGTAAAAGAATACGGTAACACAAACAACTCTTGTCGGGGCTGAGTAACCACCCTACTAAATTTATTACGAGGATCGCAAAGGCTCATACGAAAAGATAAAATACTAGTGAAACTATCGAGTGTAACACAAATAAGGAAGAATTTAAGGCATCTATTGTTTTACCATATAAGGAAGAGCTATCTGAAATCCTACGAGTGACTCTTAATAGAGCGGGAATTAAGGTGGTATTTAAATCTACAAACTCACTCATAGACAAGGTCTGTAGGTTAAAAGATTCTGTTGACTCAATTAGTCAAAATAATGTAATCTACAAAACTCTTTTCAGTGACTGCGAGGTCAACTACATTCGTGAAACTAGTAGATCAGGGTTAGTCAGGTTATCAGAAGATAAGATAAGTCTGTGTGGAGGTCAACAACACTCAGCATCAAAAATAAGATCCGGATTTTCAACTCCAATGTGAAGTCAGTCAGTGCTACGATACGGATGGATCAGAGACTTGCACTGCGCGTCATAAACAGCATCTCAAACAAACTACAAACCTTCATTAACAGTTGTCTTCGCTCAATACTCAAGATCAGATGGCCAGCCGGCCAGAAAAGATCAGCAACAGGGATCTTTGGAGCGAACCAACCCAGCAGGAACCGATTGTGAAACAAATAGGCAGGAAGAAATGGAGATGGATTGGCTGGCCATACTCTGAGGAAACCATCAAGTGAGTGACATCACTAGACAAGCCATCGCTCGAGTGGAACCCGAAAGGGAAGCGGCGAGTTTGTTATCCAAGGGTGATTTGGAGGAGGTGATGTGAAGAGGAGATGAAAGCATGTGAGCAGACATGGAGGCAGGTGAAGACTCTAGCAGAGAACCGAACGCAATGCAGACGCACGGCTGAAGCCCTATGTTCCTGTAGGATTTAAAGGTTACAATAATAATAAGAAGAAGAATGATTGATGAACATGTCAATCAATCGACCTGCTGAAGTCTTTTATACACATGACACCTCCATATGAACAAACTCTCTCCTTCCTTAGTAACCCCACATCCAAGCAGTACTGGAAAACCTTATCCTCATCAAACAGCAAGCGTAACTGCGTTAGAGCAGACATCTGACTCAAATCAAGCGGAATAGAGGCTTTAACTCACGTGGATGAAACTCATTGGACCATTCAGGGTCATTCACTGATTAGTAGTTAGTGGTCCTTTAAGTTTAACTTGGCCGACATAACTACTGACTATATATATACATACATATATATATATATATATCAACTTCATCGACTTTGAAAAGACCGTTGACAGCGTCGATCGAGAGGTGATTTGGAAACTACTACGCTACTATGGAGTGCCACCGACAATTATACATCTCATCCAACAGCTGTACGACAATGCTGCATACCAAGTAATCCACAACAGGAAACTTACGGAATCCTTCGAAAAGAGGACAGCAGTAAGACAAGCTGGCTGCCTACTATCGCCAATGATTTTCTTGATTGCAGTAGACTGGATAATGCGACAAACAGCGGGCAATGAGGAAACAGGCATAAAATGGACTCACACAAAAAACCTGGAGGATCTGGACTTCGCTGATGATATATGTCTGATTTCCCACAAACTGGAAGATATGCAAGCGAAAAGCAACAAGTCGGCAGAAAAAGCATCAAAGATAGGACTTAAGGTGAACACAGAGAAAACAGAGGTGATGAAGATTCCTGGTCAACACCACCAACAGCAACAAAAACAACAGACAACAATCAGGATAAATGGGAGGAATCTGAAAGAAATAACCTCCTTCACCTATCTCTCTAGGAAGCATCGTTTCAACTACAGGCGGACTCGACTGACGAGAATATCAAAGCAAGAATCGGAAAAGCAAGACAAGCTTTCATTACTCTCAAGTCTGTGTGTAGGTCAACAACACTCAGCATCAAAAATAACATCCGGATTTTCAACTCCAATGTGAAGTCAGTCAGTGCTACTATACGGATCAGAGACTTGGCCAGCGCGTCCTAAAGAGCACCTCAAACAAACTACAGACCTTCATTAACAGTTGTCTTCGCTCAATACTCAAGATCAGATGGCCGGCCAGAAAAGATCAGCGACAGAGATCTCTGGCAATGAGGGAACCAACCAGGAACCGATTGTGAAACAAATAGGCAGGAAGAAATGGAGATGGATTGGCTGGCCATACTCTGAGGAAACAAACCATCAAGTGACATCAGCAGACTAGCCCTGGAGTGTAACCCGAAAGGGAAGCGGCGAGTTGGTCGTCAGTGCAAGGGTGACTTGGAGGAGGTCATGTGCAGTGGAGATGAAAACGTGTGTACAGGCTTGGAGCCAGGTGAAGACTCTAGCAGAGAACCGAAGGCAATGGAGACGCACGGCTGAAGCCTTATGTTCCTCTAGGAATTAAAGGAAACAATAACGATAATATATATACATAAAGAGAAAATGGAAGCTTCTAGGTAGTTGTGAAACCAGTACAGTGAAAATGTTCCACTGAAGCTGACTGGTTTCAACATACAACTTTGCACACAGAAGTGCAGAAGTCCAAGGTGCCACACTCCTTTTAGCGCATAAAGGAAGACAAAAAAGTAGAAAATAAGGGATGATAAGCAGAAATCTGAAGGAAAAAGATTAGTAACATAGAGAAACAAGATGGTTTAATGAATATGCCAGTGAATGGATCCCTGTGATGGGGCTCTATTGAAGCCCCATATCCCAACCAGAAGTCAAAGGGAAAAAAATAATGATAATAGTTCAACTGGCTTTTCTCACTGGGCTATATATATGTGTATAAGAATGTTCTAGTATCTGAACTCTAATGTACTTTATGTTACTAAAAATAGTAATGTTTCGTTAGCTACCAAAATATTTAAATAATTACTGTTTCATCTTCCTTTGTGATGAGGAGAAAACAAGAAAAAACAAACAAAAAACAATAGGCATATAGTTTTGTCATGGTAACGTATAATAAAGGAGGAAATTCTGCGTACATTCTGATAATTAGACATTTGAAGTAGGGCATCCCTTGCTTTTCTCTTCACCAGTGTTGCCTAATTGGCATACTTAAGTAGGATATATTTTTTATAAAGATTTGCATAGACTTTACGTAATGAGGTTAACAATGTTTGTGTTATGAATTACCCCTTATTTATTTATTTATTTTACTGTATTTGTCTAATATTGAAATCCATATTTTTTTAGGTTGTCGTATTGCTTCTGTAGAGATTGCTTCAATGCTTAACCTAATCTGGAACTGCTGAATAATTCCACATGATCTGAAGATGTTTATCATAAGTATGTATAGTTTTCTTTTAATGATTAGAAAGTGGATTAAATGACAGACTTTATTCTTGTAGATGTCAAGTGTGGCATCATTTTTCAAAGTGATTTGAACAGTCTAATCTATCCCTGGGTATCAATGGCTCAAGATGTTGAGGTTTAGTTCCTGGCCGATACATTCCTAAACTTCACTTAGCCGGTAGGTAGCTTATAAAATAGAGAAGTTTGGACATTCCGCTAACAACTTCATCTCGTAAAAACAGTAATACCGTAGCTACTGAAACTTAAAAGCCTAACACTTGAAACCCTATATTTTAGTCGGGAAGCAAGCAGTAATGTTGGTTACTGGAGAGCAACCAGTTCAATGCTGTTTGATGTGAAATGAATAGTAATGTTTAGCAAGCAAGCTTTTTTGAGATCAAGCTAGGAAAGTTGCCACTGTAAGGCGTGTTAATATGTCCAACAATTTCAGAAGAGTTCAGAATGACCTATCAACCAATCAAACGAGATCTTCAAGTATTAGTGTGTGGGAATTTAATTGACTGGTTACAGGATTTCATCACAAGCTGCTGA